CCAACAACTTCCTTTAAATCTTGAGGACTAAGACACTTTGGTTCATATCATAGGCTTTGAAGAAACTCATGGGACACCATTTTTCTTTCTTTTTCTTTTCTTATGTTCTTTTTTGTAGCAGGTGTTTTTGTTTATTTAAATTTCTTCAACTCAAAAAATAGACCAAAACCTATAAGAAAATTTGGGAAGTTGCTTATTTCTTCTCTCGAGAAGGAAGACAGATTGAGAGTACCAAAATGAAGGAGAGGATGGGTGTATGGTTGTGGCTAGTGTGAGGAAAAAGAATAAAATCAAATTTCGGGTTTAGATATTTTTTTTTTTTTTTGGTGTTTGTAGTGATTTGGGTTTTTTAAAAAACTTTTTCACCCTTTGATTTTGGTTTGAATTTTTGTATGAATACTATCGTTGTCATTAGCTTTTTTCTTTTGAATTACTGTATCTAATTTAATTAAAATAACCACTTAAACAAAATGATGAATTATTAATGAAATAGTATAATTTAAATCTCAATTTTACAATTGATGGAAATATTTTTTTATTAATTAAATTTGAAAAGAAATTATGGGAATCAAGCTCTAATTGTTCGGTACTGTAAAATTATAATAATAAAAAAATCAGCAAACAAAAACCTCAAGTTACACAACTCGAGACCTAATACTCTACTCCTAACATAGATTTTAGAACTATAGTCTAAACAACTTCATACTAATTAACTTCTTTGATTATTATTCAGATTCAACAACTCCAGACTTAACAACTTCATTCCTACGTGGAACTCCTAAAATTCTTCTTAATAATTAATTAAGGATCTTGTTGGTTAATATTTTTGTTTTAAAAAATATGCTTATTTATAATCTTTTTTAATGTATAATAGACATTGTAAGAACTAAAAAAGGAATAGTAGCTTTTAGAAACATTTTTTTTAAAAAAGGGTAAAATTAGAATTAGGATCAATTCAAGGATTGGGTTGGCTTGGACCTACCTAATTTTTCGGGTTGGGTTGGATTGGGTCAGCAAGTTATTATTCTTTTTAAGAATTAGGTTGCAAACCGCCATGGAGATCGTGAGAGAGGCGACGGACGGACTACAAATGACAACCACGAGCGATCGAATGTAAGAGTGAGAGACGAGACCGTGAGAAAGGTGACAATTGCAGCCACGGGCGACAAACAGCAAATGGTAACCACAAACATCAGATCTAGGAGTCCACACGAGAGATACTTTATTTGACCGATAAGAGAAAATGGAGGCAAATTTTACAAGAGGGGGAGACGGCTGGAGAGAATGGAGAATGAAAAGGATAAAATCCTAAAGATATTATATATTATATTACAAGGAAGCCTTCGAGACCATTACACTCTCTTCTTTTTTTCCTCCTCTCCCTATTTTCCTGAGCCTCTCTCTTTTTGCCTCAAGATTAGATTACAGATATTCTAAGATTACAACCGATTTTCTCGATTTTCCTTAAGACTACCGATTTTTAAGGGATTGTGTAGTTGTCGATTCAGTTTTGATTTTCAGGAATTTTCATGATGGTTTGATTTGAGGATTTTGTATGAAACCTACTCGAGTTCTGTTCAATTCCGTCCAAGTTCTCTTCAATTCAGGTCCGAGTATGCCCAAGTATGACTGAGTTCGTTCAATTCACTCCTGGGTACGCTCGAGATCGTTCAATTCACGCCCGAGATCGTTCAATTCACGCTTGAGTTCTTTCAATTCATGTCGAGGTTCTGTTCAATTAATGCCCAAGTTCGTTCAATCTATTGTCGAATCTCGATCTAGCTGCCACTAGATTGCATCATTGTCATTGGGTACTCGATTGCTACAGACACCGCGAGATTGCAAGAGAAGAGAGTGAGATGGAGAGAAGGGAGGGCGGCTGGTGTGTTGTTGAGAGAGAGATGAAAACGAAGAGGAACCGTTTGAGAAATCCCTTCAAATTCCACGTACAATCAGAGAATAAGAAGAAAAAAAGAGCCCTAAATAGTTACATTTAAAATTTACATACTTTTATTTTTTTTTTAAATAATCACATGGGTCAAAAAGTGAATTTTCTAATTGGAGGTTATTTGAGCAAAACGTAAACTTTTTTAGATCCTGCATCAATTTCCCTCCTGTTGGAGAGGATTCGGCTTCAACAACAAGATCGACAAAACAAAAACAGAAGAATAGGAAAAAACGTGACATAAAAGTTTCTAACTTTCTTAACTACGATGAAAAGTCTTCGATATACCATGAATAGGCTCTTAGGTCAAAACCCCATGTCAGTCACCCGCATACCAATGTCTTTAAGCCGAACCTTCCACTTGATGAGAAACTTCAGGCATGAACACCTCCTCCGTTTTTGCATAGCTTGCACTCTCTTTATTCGCCAATGAACATCCACCTTTCGTCTGTAACGTGCATTTTTTNTTTTTTCTTCTTCTCGTACTCTACAAAAAAAGAAAAGCTCTTCTCCTCCTCAAGCTTTTCTTCTTCAACATGCTCTGCCTCAAATTTTCTTCTTCCTTCAACTCTACCATCTCTATTATCTCCCTTCTTATCTCCTACAGTTCTACTTTTCTCCTCTCTTCATCTTCTTCTTTTTTAAACTCTTCGTTCTCTTTTTGTTTATTTTCTTTATGAGGTGGGTTTTTATTGAGTTAAACTGATTTAAAAAAAAAAAAAAGTTTGATGTGCCCGCCTTCAACCAGGCGCTCGCCTCACCATAAAGCGAGGGCGCGCCAAGGCGCAGTGAGGCACCAAGGCGAGCGCCCGGTTGAAGGCGGTCGCCCTGGCACCACTCAAGGCGCACTCAGGCGAAATCGCCTCACCCCTCGCCTTAGGCGCTCGCCTGGGTGCGCCTCGAAAACACTGGTTAGAATAGGGGTAGTACAAAGGGGAATGTGTATGTAAGGGACCCCTCGGGATGAGGGAAGTTAGTTTTTGCTTTCTGTGTAAGGAATAGCGTTTGGCTATTGGGAGAGTTTCTAGCCCTCTCAAATTGGCTAGCTTTTGTGAGCCTCAGGGCATTCAGCTTTTTAATATCAAGAAATAGTGAGGAAGATACCTCACAGTTAGTTTGCGCAGACTTAATGGCTTAGGTTTTTGGGTGTTATGGGTCTTTAGCCCGTAATAGGGATTGTAGGACGATGTTGGAAGAGGTGTTATCCCCTCCGTTTTGAGATAGTGATCATTTTTTGTAGCAGGCTTGCCTTTTGGCTACTTCGTGTTGGCTAGAAAGGAACAATAGAATTTTTTCTTTTTAAATATCCCACTCCTTAGCGACAAAGAAGCGACCAAATGAATTTTCCGTTTGATAGAGGGACTTCCAACAACTCTAAATCTTCAATAATTTTTGTTGAATTTCACCATGCTTCTTTGTAACTCTACCCACCAAAGGACGTTCCAAAGTGCATCTTGTGACATTAAAGTCACGTCCAATGCACCAGTTATTATCGCAAAGGCCTGATATATCCCAGGGATTTCTGACCATAGGAGTTTTCTCTCTATAATCAATTGGTCCATAAACATTAGTAATAATCGAATTATTCAAATGAGAGAAGAAGATAGAATCAGTTAGTGAAAAGCTTCCTTCTAAGACTTCAATCACACGAACTTCATTCTCATCCCGTAGGGTTAAAATTCCACTAGAGCATCCTTTTGAATCAATTTGAACCCAACCCACATCCTTCGAACTCCATAGGGATTTAATGAAAGCCCCATGAATCTACTGCATTTTTGTTACCTGAAGTAGAACCAACATCCGGACATAATTGTTGAATAATTTTCTTCACCTTCAGCCTTTTATTTAAATCCCTTAAATACGGACATTCCATGAAAGGATTTTCATACTACTTTCTGAATGGGGAAAGAGAAATTTTGATTGCCTTAAATACGAAGGGAATTTGATTCTCAAGGCTTTTAGTGATGGGGAAATATTAGATTTGTCTTTCTCCATATCCGTAATTGGAGGGAAAGAATCTTCTTCGAGTCCAAACAAGTTGTTCAAATCCTCACAAAAAGAATGTTCTGAAAAGTCGGTTGAAAATGCTGAATCCGCTTGCTTATTCACAATTTAGGGAAATCTTCATACTGATGCTTACATTAAGCACATCTTCGTCATCTGAACATGAGCTGATCTTATCTTTCTCCAACTCATTTGTTGAGTTAATGTTTCCAAGACAGAAGGTTCAACTTTTGTTAATTATTGCCGAAATTTGTTCCTTAGGAGTTAGGAGCTTCATAATCCTTGTTAAAAGAATCCAATAAATTCTTTTGGGGTAAATCAGTCATAGACCATTCGTTCATAAGGATTTTCTGTTTGTTGCAACAGATCATCGCAAGAGAATCCTCTTTCCTCAATTAAAGTATCGTTAAATTTCAGAAGATCTAAATCTTGCAAATCTGACGAGCGAAAGTTGTCTGCCAATTTAAAAATACTTCTATTGAATGAACTTCTAATATATCTGATAGGTATGGAACTTTAAAAAAGATCTTATAGGTTTTAAAATTTTCAATTTTAAATATAATAAATCTCCAAATTTCTTTTTTCTTTTTTTTTTTCCTAATATATCTCTAACCTATTAGACTATTTTTAAAGTTCAAGAATACAAACTTAAAAACTATTTGACACTTTTTAAAGTTTAGGAATGGTATTAGATAGAAATTTAAAAGTTAAATGGCATAACCTGTGATTTACGTAATGTGAAATTTAAATGTTAATGACAAACCTGTAATTTTAAAGTTAATAATTCTTTGGAAGCAATTAATTAGTTGAATTGTTTTGAATCTTTCATTGAAGGTATGAAAATCAATGGATTCATTTCAGTAAAAGTTTTTGTTGACTCCTCCAATCTTGAGGATTTGATGGTCCAAATCCCTCCCTTTTTCCTCTCAACCGATCTCAATTTCTCATTTCCTCAATCTCTTTCCTTCTTTGCCCCCTTTACTACTTATTTATCCCATACCATAAAGCTAGCTGAACAAAGTGATACTGGTCAAGCAATTTAAATAAGTACCTGTACGCTGGAGACAACTCTAGAAAGGCATTTAACGATGCCTTCAACAACATTTGTGTTCTTTGGATGCCTGTAAGATCAATGAAAATCAATAACTTATATACTCTGGAAATTTTACAAAGATGCTATGAATCTAGAAAGTTCCTCCATGCATTATAAACCTTCATTTCATAAATGAATTTTAAAAAAATAAAAATAAAAGAATAATGTTATTTGACGGATAAAACTTCCTTGACGAGAGAGTTCATCACGGGGCCTAGAACAAGGGACCGAGAGAAATGGTATACTTGTTGCACCAATTTCTTATCAAGAAAAAATAACCTTCCCAGGATAATTAAGTAAAAGTGGTTTCTACCCACTCTCCACCAACAACCGAAACAAAGAGATTTAGTAAAAAGGATTCAGCTCCAAGTTTAGTATGAAGTCAATATCTAAATAGGAAAACTATTTTTCTATTTGATACCAGAGCCCGTATTTTGTACGTACAAATTGCAGTTGTTCTTCGCAGTATTTTCAAGGCGCAAGGCACACCTCAAGGCGACAAGCCCTTAGATCGCCTTAAGGAGAGAGGCGACAAAAAGGTGAGGCCTGAAGGCGCACCTTTTATATAAAAATATATATATATAATGTCAAAGTTATAAAAGATTAAATAAGATTAAACAGTGAATATATCAAATAAAATAAAGAAAAAAGCCCTAAAGAATAAGGGAATAAACAAATAAAATAAAGATACGATGTAAAAATATTAACTTACATCTTTTAAAACATTAAAACATTTTTTTTAGTACAGCATGTGAGGGTGGGAAATCGAACTTATAACCTCTTGATTGGAGATATATATCAATTACCGCTGAGATATGCTCGCTTGGCTTAAAACATTAAAAAAATATTTTAATATTTAAATAAAAATTAAATTAAGAAAAAAGTATAGAATTTAAATAAAAATGGGTAAAATACACTTTTGGTCCCTGAGTTTGAAGGTAGGTTTCTATTTGGTCCCTAAGTTTCAAAAAGTGACAGTTTAGTGCCCGACATTTGAATAATAGTTCTAAAAGGTCCCTAGGTTAAACTTCCATTAGTAACACTAACGAAATGCTGACGTGGCACCGATGAGTTGTAGTTTTATATTATTTTTAAATTATATGACTTTATTTTTCTTTCACTTTCATCCTTTCTACTTCTTTCCTTCCTCTCTTCCTCTCTCTTCCCTTTCCTTCTTCTCCGACCCGTGACCCAACAGAGTGGTACTAGACCACAACTGAACTGAAGCTATATCAACCACCAACTTTATTAATCTCTGATGGGAGAGCTTGAAAAAAGAGCAAAAACAAAAAAGGCTGGTTTTGGAGTTTTGGAGTTTTCGATTAGTGGTTCTGGTTTTATGGGGAGGTTTAGAGAGGCTAGTTTTGGGTTTGAGTGAGGTGAATTTTAGTTATTTGGGACGAGATTCTCTGATTCTTTTGGGAATTTCGATTCCCTTTTCGTTTTTGCTCTTTTTTCATGCCCTCCGTTATATGCTATAAGCGGGATTACAAGTGGTGGCGATGGCTCCAATGGCGACAATAGCAAGGAAATAAACTGGGAAGTGGATGGAATTGGGGGCGAAAATGACAACCACATCACATTTCTGAATCCGAAGCTGGACGAACACATGGGATAGCTAGGAGACTTGGATTCTAAGCTGACGGAAAGTGAGGGATTCTCGGGAATCGGCGACGGCAAGGGCAAGGCTGTGGGGGCAAGATGGTCAGTTTTGTCTAAAATACTCAACAACCCAAAACTAAGAATAAAAGAATAAAAATTTAACTTCCATTTCCCCTCTTTTATCATCTGTGGTCTAGTGCCACTCTGTTGAGGCCACGGTCGAAGAACAAGTAAAGGGAAGAGAGAGGGAGAGAGGAAGGAAAGAAGAGGAAGAGAGAGAAAGAGGATAAAAATGAAAGGAAAATAAAGTCATATAATTTAAAAATAATATAAAAATACAACTTATCGGTGTCACATAAACATTCACTAACGGAAGTTTAACTCAGGGACCTTTTAGAACTATTATTCAAATGTCGGGGACCAAACTGTCACTTTTTGAAACTTAGGGACCAAATAAAAACCTACCTTCAAATTCAGGGACCAAAAGTGTATTTTACCCAAAAAAAAAATTATATGGTAAAATGCAATGGCAATAACCCATGGAAGCTGCCATTTGTCTGATTGTCACCATGCATGGCACTAGCACTCAATGCTTCTTGAAAACGATACCATGCATTGGCCCTCATTTAATGTTTCTTGAAAATCTAAGTCTGTCTTTTACCTTTCTCCCTCTTTTCTTATTCTTCTTCTCTTTGCATTTGAATCTTCTTCTTCCTACTTTCGACTCTTCTTCTTTTCACTCTTCTACTCTTAATTCTTCTTCCTCTACTCTTCATTCTTCTTCCATCCAAAAGTTTTTCTTTTTAATTTCGACGATCGATGGAGGCAAATTGTTGCTAGCAAAGACAAAGAAGGCGAACGATAGAAAAGAAGAAGTTGCCAAGGAGAATTGCAAGCGTGGGCTAATTTTTAGGGTTTTTCATTTGAGGTGGGCTTTTTGTGCGCTTGCCTTGCCTAATAGCGATGGCACACCAAGGCAAGGCAAGTGCCCAATTGAAGGCGCTTGCCTCGGCACTGTTTAAGGCGTACCCACGCCAAAACGCCTCACCCCTCACCTTAGGCGAGCGCATGGGCACGCCTTGAAAACATTGGTTCCTCGTGTACATTGCTTGTTTACTTCCCCTTAAATAATGAAAAGACCTTCATTGAAAAAGGGAAAGGGAAATGATAGATAAAGATAAGGTGGGACACACAAGTAGCATTGAAAAAGAATATGTTTTCTTGCAGTTTTTTGCGTATCTTCTGTATTTAATGTGCAAATATAATAAACTGGAGTTAGCAGGCTCACATATCAAAGTTCTGGAAAAGAACCTGCAATGTTCTAGCCTCCATGCAAAAACCCTATCAAGATTGACAAATTTCAACTATGAGAAACCTCTACATACAAACAAACAAACAAAAGTAGCTAAGCCAGAATTCAAACCACAAATTCACATATAATGTACTTCATTATAGTTACCCTTAAATTTTCAAGAACAAGAATCCTATGCCACAATGGTAGATCAAGAAAAGTAACCTTCAATAACATACTGAGGAAAACCTGCATTTGGTGAGAAACTATAGTTAGTTATATAGTAGATGTGGATTCTCTTTTAAGTCCAAACTTCAAAGTTCAATAAGGGAGCACCAGTATAATGCTGTTCAAAGCTTTTCCATGAAAAGCAAAAAATTCTATTACCTAACTACAACAGAAGTCAGACTAGAATATAGAAACCAAAATATAAAAGAAGATATATTTGGAACTAAAGAAACTCAATCATGAGTGTGAAATAGTGATTTTATTATATATTATATGGGAAAAAAATTATTAAAAAAAACCTCTATAAAGCTAAACAAGAGAGCCCATATGTATCTTTTTTTTTTTTTAACAAGAAACGAAAGAGAGTCCATATGTATTAATAAAAACATTTGGCCTTGGTTGGAGAAGTCCTTGGAAAATCATCTCTTCTGCGACGATCTCCTGAGAGCTGCAAGCAAATTCAAAGATGGCAATAGGCTGTAATCTTGACTCTTGGGAGAAATTCTGGATTTCTGATCAGCCACTGAAAGTAATGCTTTCTAGACTACAACTCCAAAAGTAGTCCGTTAAAATATCACTATAATTTAGATGACAATGGAGGGAGCTTTCCGTTTATGAGAACTTTCTAAGGAAGTCATTAGATTGGATAACTCCTCTCTCCTTGCACAAGTATTGTTGGTCTTACAGCCACAGGGATTCTAGTCTAGGTGCTGTACAGATCTGGTATCTTATCAATTGATCAGTTATCTTACATCTAAGAGAAAGAGTGAAAATGATCATGTCCAAGCACATGTCTAAGGCCATATGGAAGCAAATAATTCCTAAGATCAACATTTTAGGACTCTAGTGCCAAGAGGTGTTGTCGTGTTGATACATGTTTTTCCTCTTTTTTATAACTGGGAGTCGGAGCTTTGCTCCACTATACACAGGGGCCCGCCACAAAGACCCGAACCCAAGAGACATCAAGGGCTTTTGGTATTAAGCTCACCAAAAGGTTCGAACTTGAGACCTCTAAGTCAGTATGGCCAAGAGATCCCACGCCCTTGTCAACTGGACTGCCCCTTAGGGCTAAGAGGTGTTAATACTGCCAATGCAATTCAGAAAATATACATCCATACAGGTCCCTTTATCCCATATGGTGTATCCTCTGCATGCACCATCTTGATTCCAGTGATCACCTCTACATTCATGTTTGTTAGGACTATGAGTGGTTAAACATGTGACACATTTGGTATTTCTAGGTGCTTCCCCAATAACATTTCACATTGCTTTCCGTATTACCTCATGGTTCTGTTTCTGATTTTTGGGATAGACACAGGTTCATGGAACATTGATTTGAGAAGACCTTTGAAGGAAGACAAATTAAAAGATTTTGCTGGCCTTTTAAACGTGATTAGCTCATCTTCAATTACTAATTAGGAGGAGCAAATAGTATGGACTATTGACCCTACAGGGGAGTTTACCGTAAATTCAGTTTGCAGATTGCATAATTCCTCTTCTATGCCTACAGAATTAATTGCAGTCTTATGGAACTCTAAAAGTCCAAGGAAAGTTAATAACTTTACTTGGATTCTGCTCAAAAGGAAGTTAAATACAGCTGATATGATTCAAAGAAGTTTCCTACAGCCTCGTTGTCCCCTTCTTTTTGTGTTCTTTGTGAATCGAGTGGGGAAGATATTGATCATTTAATTCTCTTTTATGTTTCTCTTTCACTCTTTCGAGAATTTATATCCTTGAACAATTTTTGTTCCTTTTCATTTCATTAATGAAAAGTTTGAATTTTGTTCAAAAAAGAAAAAAAGTAAAAAAAAAACTTTTCATAGATAGATGAAAAGATACAAAATCCTTTATGCGGTCCTCATTTCAAGAGAAGGCTAAAACTCCCTTGGTTTGCACAATCATGACTACCCTTGAGAAATTTGGTTCTTTTATGAAGAACAAGAATAAGAGCATAGGCTAAAGCAACCAAAAGAGAATATCGAAAACGACGGGCCCATTTGGTAACGTTTCCGTTTCTTGTTTCTCTTTCCAATTTTTTAGAAACATAAGTGTTGGGTAATTGTTCATGTTTATCATTTCTCAGTTTTTAGAAACATTTCCAAAATTGTGTAGAAATTTTAGAAACAACAAAATCAAGTTGTTCGTTTCTTATTTCTTATTTCTGTTTCCACTTTTTTCCAAAACATAAAAATCATTTTTTATTATTGACTTATAAAATGCATAATAAATATAAGAAAAAAATTAATAGTGTATTTATTGAAACAAGAAACAAGTTTTTCATTAAGATATCTGAAAAGAAGTAAAAGTGTTCAAAGATATAAATTCCCAAATGAATGAAGAAGATGCTGAAAAATAAAAGAGGCTAAAATAAAATATGTTTCTGTTTCTTTTTTACTTAAATAATTAAGAACAAGAAACAAAGAAAGAATTACCAAACGTTATTCTGTTTCTATTTTAAAAAAAGAGAAAACAAAAAACAAAAAACAATAAAGTAGAACATTACCAAACAGGCCCTGAATAAAGGAGGCTCTAATGGTTTGAGAGTCAAAATAAATGAACATTAAAAAAATGTTGAGACACGAGAGCTCAAAGGGAGGCATTAAGGTGCGCCGAAGGAATTTCCTAAGTAAAGAACTTTCCTCAAGTCACAAAAATCTACCAACCAAAGAAATCTAATCATATGAAAATTATAGAACTTTTCAAGACAAATCAAAGATTTAGAGGGCAGTTGGCTTGAGCCATCAGGCATCATTAAATTATGGGATTATTTTTTTTTTAACAAGATACGAACTTCTCATTGAAATATTGAAAAAAAAATACAATGTTGAAGAGATAGAAACTCTCGAAGGAGCGAAAGAAAGCCACCATAAAAAATACAAAAGAGAAGATATAAGAAAAAACATTTTGAAGAGCAAAAGCTAGAAAACTTGACAAGGAAACGAGTCAAAAGAATCTAAACCGATCAAAGATTAGAGAACAAACTAAGGAGGGCCCAAAACTTCAACATGTCTGCAAAAAAAATCATCAAAGACATTTTCCTTACAAGAAACAAACTTTTCATTGATAGATGAAAAGGAAGAAAAATGTTGAAGGATATAAACTCTGAAAGGGAGCGAAGAAAGACCAAACAGCCAAATAAATAACAAATCTCCAAAAATTACAAGAGAATGAAACATTAAAGAACAAAACACCTAATATCTTAACAAAACGACGAGCCGAAACAACCAAAACTTCAATTTTCAAAAGCTACACTAATATATTGAACAAGAGAAAAGCACATCTAGAAGCCTTTAATCAGAGCACCGATCATACAATGCCCACATAATGGAAGTATCCCATAAGCAATATAATAACAAAAATTTGCATTTGGACAACTTCTAAAAGGAGAACCAAAAGTGTCCATAATCCAGTACCCAATGCTACCAGCAAATCCCTACGAGTTGCCACCATTTGAAGAACTCAATGTGCATAGATAAGGAACCAAAATTTTCAACAGTCCCTAAGGCATCCAAGTGTTTAAACCTTTAAACATTAGACAACCCAAAACGAGAGTTCAAATAAAAGACGAACCCTCCTTGAGAGAGAGCTTGATGAATTAACAAAATATCATTATTAATTGCCGATTTGACCCTTCGTCCTCTACACAGCTGTAAACCAAAGAAAAATCTTTTCCATTGCTTTTCTTCGGCGTAGAAAAAGCCTCTAACTCTTCAGTCCCTTCAACAAGATCAGTGGAGTTCGAATTAACGCTTAAGATTCCACCAATAATCGGCTGAGGAGCTTCCAAAGTTGCAGAAGACGGAGCCCGAAATAGGGGAATAGGGGAATGAAATACTTAATACTCAAAATCAGAAATTAAATTTCTCCCATTGGGAACATCAAAAACCGGTAGCTGGAAATGCCTCATTAAAAGCATTTTTTATCTCCAAAATACTCTTTGGGGATGAAGAGACAATTAAAACTTCAGCCGAATCCTCCATGTAATGCCATAAACTCGTTTTTAATTTCCAAAATACTCCTCGGTATTGGAGATTAGTCCAACCACTAGCCGGAGTCTTCATGCAAGGGAAGACTGAAACTTCTTCATTAACATCCAAAATACTAACACCATTATCTAATTTTTCACCAACCTTATTAAAATCGGTCAAAACCTCACTAACTGACTTAAATTCACCAACTTGTGCATTAAATCAAGCATATCAGCCTTGGACGATACCATATTAGTGATATCATTAATGTTATCCAACCTATCAAACGGTTCAGCATTAATGGCTGCAACCATGAACTTCTCACAAGCTTTGGAATTAAAAAATGCCGCATTGATGGCTGCAACTTCCAACTGATCAACAACAAACGATGCAGCATTAATATCTTCATTAAAGACCTGGTCCTGCAAGAGCATCATTAACTTTTTCTGCTAACTTTTCATTCGACTAAACCACTTCAACTTCAGGCATAGCAAACATAACACCACAACCACCTTCAATCTCCTTTAATCTCACCAAATAATTTGACAGATTTCCATTACTATCTTCAACTCCCACCAACTTTTCACCTAAACCAAGATTTAAAAACGGATCAAATCCCTCGAAAAACAATTCATCTTCCTTCACCAAATTGGCACGCTTGAAGTCCAACGGATTGCACAACCAGTCATGCTCCAAAATACTCAAGATTCTGATCTAGAAGAAGGATCAGAAAAAGGAGAAATTTGGACAACCACTTCCTGAAGGTAGGGATCATGAATCACCACACCTCTGCTGGAATGAAACCACTTTGATTCTTGTTCACCTCAATGAGAGCTTCTTAACAATTCAACAAATTGATGGTATCCAAAGAGATACCAATAAGACAGCCACATTTTCATCCAATAAATTCGAAAGTCATTTTGTTCCATAAACAAATAGGTACGTTTATAACTTTTATCCAACCTCCATTGCTTTCCACCATCTAAATCCTACCATGCTTCTTCGCACATCATTTTTCAATTTTTAAATATAAACCTCCCAACTTCTTCCAAGAACCTAAACTTCCTACAACCACCAAAAGATTGTTATTTCCTAATTTTAGCAAATCTTTATCAGCAAAGAAGGGGTTGATCAAACAAAACCAAGAATTTTCTTTCATTAAAATCTCATAAATCAATTTCCAATACTTAAAGGAATGTAAACTACTGATAACAAAATAGAAAGAGACAAGGAAATAAAGACGAGGAGGCTGCATTCGGTGGCCTCGATGCTGGGTTTTGGGGAGGAAGGGCTGTCTATTTCGTTGGGTCTCAATCGGTCTTTAACTCAGAGAGTCTCGGGAAGCGGGTGAGCTGCTCCATCTCCTATCCAATGTCCCTTTCTCTCGAAATAGAAAGGATGTCCGTGTTTGGGCCCCTTCTCCTTCTAAGGGTTTCTCTTGTAGCTCCTTCTTTAAAATTTTGTGCTCCCCTAATCCTTCCCCGACTGCCCCTATGTTTGCCTCGCTCTGGAAAGTCAAAATCCCGAAAGAAGATTAAGTTCTTCGTATGGCAGGTCTTACTTGGGAAAATCAACACCCAGTCCAAAAGCATTCTTCTTCCTGTTTGGAGCCACAATGGTGTGTTCTTTGCAAACAAGACTCGGAGGATTTGACCACATCTTATGGCATTGCAACTTTGCTCTGAAGATTTGGAGCCGTTTTTTTTAGATGTTTGAAGTTACTTGGGTATGTCATAGAGATTGGGGAACTATGGTGGAGGAAGTGCTTTCGTCTTCTCCTTTTCGTGAGAAATGGAGATTTTTGTGGCAAGCTTGCTTCTTTGCGATCCTGTGGGGAATTTGGTTGGAAAGGAACAATAGAATTTTTAGGGGGTGGGTGAGAGATAGCGAGGGAGTTTGGGAGCTTGTGAGATTTAATGTTTCTTTATGGGGCTCTGTTTCGAAGTTGTTTTGTAATTATAAGTTAAGTCATATTCTTTTAGATTGGAAGTCTTTCTTTAGCTAGGGCTTCCCCCACCGGACTTTTGTTTTTGTATGCCCGTTTTTTTGTTCTCTTTTTCATTTATCTTAATGAAAAGTTCAGTTTCCTATCAAAAAAAAAACTAGTGATAACAAAAATCTTTTCAAAA